GCGATGTCTGCTATTGTAAGCATCGGTGAAAATCCTAACGAGAACGAAAAAATACAAGTCAAGGTAGAAGGGAGCCATTGGAAAATATATGGGAAGATGCTCTGCAATTCGTAAGTTGGAGTTGCGTCAGATGGGCCTTGACGAAGGCGTTCGTGCTAGGTTGCAGTCGGAATATGGCATCGACCTATAGTCTGGTGGATTTATATGTGAGTATTCTCATCAATAATTTAAGGAGAAGGTTGCAATTGCGTTATCTTATAGGAAGCTGAGGCCGTTATAATTCATTGCGCATATATGGATGGCATGACGCAATGTCAGTGTCGATATATTTTTGTTTTCATGCTACCGTAGAGATCTACTTTGAAGTAGTACGTTGCTTTGGAGGGTGCTGTGGATTAAAGTAGGACACAGTACTATTGCGGCTGTTTACAAGGTCGTACATGACTGGTTATACAGGAATAAGTGTCGGTTCACGTGTGACGTGTATGACGAGGAATGCGGCGTTACTTCGACGATGAACATGTGGCTTGCCTCGTCGAGGTCAGTCCTGAATGATGAAGAGCTGTATGGTGTGTCAACCAACGTTCTTGCATCTCTGAGGTTAGGAAACTTACACGAGATCTCCTCAGAGCACAAACGAACTCCCTCGGTTGGACGAGGGTTCCACGAGTTGTACGAAAAATACTCTGAAATGTTAAATTGAAGTACTCTACTAGACCGACAAGTGCATGTATGTGTAGTACACGTCTCACATTTGGGGGCATTGTCGCCATACTGAATACGACGAAAACAATCATATGGTGTGTATAGGTCGATAGGTCGTAAATCGATGAGAAGTGATGACGGCGGGCAATGTAGACGTACAAATAGCGGGGGGACAGCGTGATTGAAGGGTGAAGGGTGGGATGGGAGTCCAACTTGCGAATGCAACGGTAGAGAGAGGAGTGGTTAAAAAGGTGGTCCGACGTGGGGTATGGGTTTAGTTAAGTGGTAGGCCGACGAGATGAAAGAAGAAATGGAGGAGGAACGAGCGTCCAGGTCTTTAACCAGTTAGGGCACGGTTGATTCGCGGACAGACAGCGTGGGCAATAGCGTGGTGGCGGCGTTCAGGCCCGAAAAAACGTCTCAGCAACAGACATCGGCGAAATGGACAGCGACTGTTGGAGCTGGCGGTGCAGGTGCGTCTGTTTCTGAGCTTTTTAATGTACGAGAGAACCATATGCTCTCCGTTGGCGCTCTAGGGCAGCGTTCCCCAGAGCGTGAGCGGGGAGGCTAGGCCCGTAACTCCCATAGAGGGGGGGTAGAAGGGAAGCCAAGAGACGAGAGTATACTATGTGCAGACGTCAACAGAGGCCTCCCGGATGGGACAACAAGGACGTGCGTACCATCAACATCTCTAACTACCATATCTCGATCACTAGCAGAGCCCTTTGCACATGTTACATGTTTTACGTGCAACGAGCCAGACCACAACCCCAGAATTACCCTCACAGCGGTTCCCCGCCAGAGCCTTTACTCAATACGCTGGGCAAGGGTACACATACTTGGCGCCGCCGACACCCGTGGATACCCGCCGCCGCCGCAGCAGCAGCAGCAGCAACTGCAGCAGCGGCAACCACAGCAACAGCAACCGCAGGAAATCAACAGCACGGCACCCAGGGGCACGCAGTAGCATCAGCGCCTTCATGGTCAACAGCCTGCGCAACAGTACTGATGGCACAGACCCGGCAGCAAGAGCTGCAGTGTAGCGCCGGTGGTATAGTCGAGCAATGCCGCCCAAAAGTCAGTTCATGGGCAACAAAGAAACGCTTGAAAACGTCACAGTCCATATACAACAATTTGAGCAGATTGCACCGTCGCGCCTGCTTCGCCCCTTCTCCCGAACCCCAGACAGGCTAGCTACCCCCTCGCCCTCCCCCCTAGTATTGCTCCCTCCAGAGCTCGCTGCCTGCAGTAGGTACTCGCCCCATAGACGGCCGTGGGCCTCCGTGCCCTTGATCTGCCCGTGTCTGCCCAGTTGGCTGGTTTTTGTGTGGTCAACACGTATTTTTGCTTGACAAGAGGAGGGCGTTTTGGACCTGTGCGTCACCCAAAACTACCCCATCGTAGGACTCGTTTTGAGAGATGCTGGAGCAACGGGATCTGGAGGGGTTTCGTCTACCACCTCCGTGAACACAATAGCTACGATTTCATCGGTGGCGATTTGCGTTTACGTTGCATACGTTCGTGGCAGCAGGTGGAAAAGGCCAAACTCACATGTTTTTTTAGGGTTCGATGGGTATTTTCCCACTGATTGAAAAATTGACCGACGAATCCATAGGTGTGCCCTGATCAAGGGTGTGTAGTGAATCGCAAGAGCCAGCTCATTGGTGGCATCGAGTATCCCAGGATCCCCTCCTACAGTTGAATATGAAGTCAAAACAAGGTTTGGCGTCGCCAACCGGAAAAGCGGAAAACTTTGTTTTCGTGGTTTTTCAGCCAAAAGCCTGACCACGCGCATACACGAAAAAAAAGGGTCACGCGCAGGGCTAACAGTGACTACCATCGTCATTTCCGTATTTTACGATCGAAGCCCCCAGCAGGACCCGGTCTATAACGCCCCCGAACCGCATCGCTGCATCATTGCAGAACTTGGTAAGCCTGATACCAAACTGGTCTCTCTGCCTGACCAGAAGTCAACACGCGAGCAAAGCGCGAGCATTGCATGAAATCTCGCATTGAACGGTGAAATCGCCTGAGCAATACCAAGCATCACATCCTTTTTCGCACAGGTACACGAAAGCCCGACAAACGTCAAGTCCGAAGGGATCCCTATCGAATCGACGAGGAATCATACCTGCCGTCATGAATGCCCTCTTCATGAAAAATGCCCGCGCATACGAAGATACTCTCGAAACTGCGTAGTCTCAGATGTCTCGCCCAGCCTAAACATACCAGGTTCGTTGTTGTCATTGTTCCCATTGTCTTTACTAAAAAAAACGTTGCGGTCTTCGCTCAGTACCTTCAAATATCCGCACTGGTCAAACCCCGTGGGACGTACATCTACCTTTCTTGGAACGAAAGCCACACATTAAATGGACTCAGAAAAAAATACTTCAAATGCGGAAATCTTCCGAATGACTAGTATTGTTGCTATTGTTGTTGTCTTCACATTAAACTCGTGTCAACTGCTAGTCCCAAAATGTAGCAGAAGCTCGAGTCCGTGGTCACAAAAATGCTAGAGCTATCAGAAGATCTAAGAGAACACGCCCGAAGAGGCACACCTACAATCCATGCAGCACGTTCGCGTGCCCCAAGACTGAAAACTCTTCCAGCCGTACGTCCCAACCGGTTCTTAATACAATGATGTATACTTTGCTATGGTCGCGAAGTATCCGGAGGGCCCGGGCTGTAATGACTGGGGATCTGAGCAGATCTAAAATGGTCCCCCGGCCCAGCCTTTGCTATGGTCGCGATGTATCCGGAGGGCGGGGGCTGTAATGACTGAGGATCCGAGCAGACCTATAATGTTCCCCCGTTCCAGCCTGTTGGGGGCGTCCAGGACATGTCCCCTGACCCCCAGGATTGTACCGTCTCCTTAGGTGTGGTTTCCTGACCAACACCCAGGTGGTTAGTTACCACCGCCGGTCACGCGAGAGAAACTGAGCCATACTCTTTGCCTTTGTGCCTGACCAGCTGCCAACCCTTGTGAGTGCTGAACCTGATACGTTGATTTTCAAGTTCGTGAGGAATCATAATACTGCTGTTGGGCGTTTCTGATCACCCGCTTGAAGTTCTACCACCACTTGATTGTTCTACGTGCTCGATCTCCGCAGATATAGCTCATTATCTGTTCCCAGGTGAGATAGGTAACTAGTCCGTTTAAAAGAGAGAGAGATAAGCTTGTCTGGAACATGGTACACGTACGGTTAAATGGAGCATGTGGTCATCACCGGTTTGTTGGACTTCGCAACGAGCGGGGGTGTGACCCCTCGAGGTGATTTTTGTCCTTTTGGGGTTTTACGGTTTTTTTTAATACACGTTGTCTCCTCAATTCATCTCGTCACTGGCTCCATCCACACACTTTTGGACATCGAATGCGTTCCCTCTAGACCTCCCTAAAATGATATGCTAGCCGCGGGGAGACCCCCTCACCCTGTTGGGGTCGCTCACAACTCGTCCTGCATGCTCGGAGTGTCTTGTATGCTGATTATGTGTACTGTTTCGCGGTCATCACGCCCGCCTGGTTTCGGGTAAACTCTTTTTTTTTTTATGTGATTGAAGTGCTGTGTACCGGATCCCGTGCGTCATCCCTCACGCATTTCTTTCACGAGTTCCCCCAGTCGTCTGATGCGCGCACGGCCATACCCTCTTCTGTACACTCCGACATACTGTGTGCGACTTGACATTCTATGGAACAATGAATTGCTGTGCATCGACGTCACCGACGACAATCACTGTCATCGTTCGGCACCGGCCGGCATCATCGATCCACGGCGTCTCCATTGGGGTCATCGACCTACGGCGTCCTCGTCGGCATCATCGATCTACGACGTCCCCGTCAATCGACCTTGCCAATCGCCATTGTCGGCCCGAAGATAGCTTCGACCGATGAAGGGGAACCGGCAACCTCTGCACGGACATCAACTCAACCTTGAGGCAGCTCAACCTGCCCTAGGAAAAGGGGTGGGAACGCCTCAGCCGCCCCTCCGCACGGCGGAGCGCCTCACATACCTCCGCAGCCGCCGCTGCCTCCGCCGGTAGCGGGACACCTCCCTCCGCTGGGAGGAGCTGGAGGCGCGCCGACCGCCCAACTGGGTGGCCCTCAGCCGCCGCTGCCACCGGCCGTGGGACACTTCCCTCCACCGGGAGGGGCGGCAGGCCCCCTACCCGCACACGCGGGTGGCCCTCCACCGCCGCCGCCGCCGCTGCCGGCCGCGGGAGATTTCCGCCCGCAGGAAGGGGATGGAGGTGCGCCACCCGCCCAACCGGGTGTCCTTCCGCCCCAACTACCACCGGTTATGCTGCCCCTTCAGGGTGGAGCCCAACATCAGGCTCCTGGGCAGCATCTCCAGCAGCATCAGCCTCCGCCGGCACAACACCTTGGGCAGCAGCAACCCCAGCCCAACCAGCAGGGGCTGCAGCAGGCGGTGCCTCATCCCCCGCCGGCCAAGCAGTCGGCGTACCAACCGCCGCCTCAGGCGGGCGGGTACATCCACCAACCTTACGGTGGCTACGCGTACGCCCTGGTCCAACCGGCCTATCGTTACGGGCCGCACCAGCCATACGGAAGGTACAGCGACCAGACTCACGTGTACACGACCCCTCCGGCATCTCTTCCCCTCCCACACAAGGTGCTGGCTGTCGACCTCAGCCAACACAAGCAGCGGAAGGACATCGCCAACAAGGTAAAGCGCATGATGGGTGGTTCGACGAAGACCTTTGGGACGCCCAGCTTCCACGGACCGCTGATCACTCCACCGCCGGAGCTGCACTTCCGGCAGAACCCTTGCCTGTTCCGTAAGAGGTTGACGGATGCCTTCCGGATCGTGGGCATTGGAATCATCCGCCTCGAGGAGGACGCCCCGACCGCCGCAGGCGCGGGAAACGTCATTAAAGCCTGGCCTAACGACCTTACTGCCCTCTGTTTCAGCATCGTCTACACCATGTTTCTTACGGTCATTGCTGTCGCGGCTGCCATCGCCCGCGGCCAGGATGTCCAAGTGCATAACCTCAACGAGAGCATGGCGTGGGTGCGCTTTGAGCACTTTCTCGTCACGGACGCCGTTCGACTCTTGGTGGCATAAACCGCGCACCACGGCAGCTCCGGCCGCCATGTGGCGCATACCCTGCACAACATCCGCCTACAGGAAGAAGCGTCGTGCGAGACGGGCTTCAACCGCTCAGCACGCATTGCGCACACTGCGAACGTCCTTCCCGATTGCCCGTACCTGTCCGAAAAGCCATGATATTGGATGGTAATGACGGAGGAGGACCTTCAACATCTCATGATCCTCGCGGTGGCCCTCTGTTTCCTGCAGCGCGTGTTCCAAGGACCGTTCCACGCGTACCTCGTGAGCGTCATGGAGTACACCCGGCACTTGCTCCAGCAGCACCCCATCGACTCGCACGCCCTAAGTTTCCACCACATGCGCGCCTGCGTGGTGACCTCTGCAAGGATTGTAACGGCAAGTTCGTCACCACCCTGGCCCAGAATTCGACCTACTACGCTCACCCGAGCAGTCAACCGGCGGACAAGGCCATGTCAGCGCTTCAGCCCCACTCTCAGCGCCTGCCCCCGGGCCAGGATACCTTCTCGCGCCCAAGCCAAGCAGCACGGCTCATCCCTTGCCGTGCTGGAAGGGAAGACTGCCCGCGTCTCGCTGCCGGTGGACCGCCATGATTTGACTTCGGACTCGGACGCCGACGGAGTCAACGCCCACGTTGCTGCGGTCGGTACTGCTTGAGACGGGCCCCCGGCGACCCATGCGGCCCCTCGGGCCCCGTTCGACCGCCGCGCGACGTGACCAGCTGATTAATCGCGCCTTCAGGAGTTCAGAGGCGGGAGCGGACGCCTGGCCAAGCGGGCGATGCCGGTACAAGCGTGCGCAACTCGCGTCGCCAGCGCCGCACAGGGAGTCAAGCACCTCAGTCCGCAACCCGAGGGCAGCCGGCCGAGCGTGGACCACCCTCCGGCGCCCCGCAGCTCACCGCGGATGCGCTAGCACCCAACACTGATTGAAAGGAGATCCAGAAATACATCATGCTCCACGGGGTCTGCTTCAGCCATGCGAGGTGACATGCGTGGCAACGGATAATGCAGAATCACCACTGTTAGACCCTGGGGTTACCCCCCTGCGGAGCAACAAAAAACGGTATGCTGCGAATAGATTTTGTTTTTTTTTTGTTTGAAGGGGGCACACAGACAGCAGTCCTACTTACTTGAGCAGAGACAAGGAACTGGCAATCAAAAATGCGCGAAGACGGCGAGGAGATGGCTCTTCTCAATCTACAATCACCTGTAATTATGCTATAGCTAGAGAAGTAGCGAAGCCGATTTCCGTTTGGTGGCTGAAAAATCCGGAAACGACGGAAATTTCGGCTGTTGACGCAGCTGGCGCGAATACCTAGACGAGAGTCAAAAATCGCCTTCGCTACTTCTCTAGCTCTGGTTTCTGCGCACACAGCTAAAAAAACCGATCCCCGATTGACCTAGAACCCGACGAGTGGCATTGATTACCAGATCACCTCTCAATTTATGGCTAAGGGCGGTGGTAAAAACAAGGGTCGCGTCAAGTCCAAAAAAAAAATCTTCAAAAACTCCACGACGTGTCTTCTCGAGAGAGAAGGATGCACGTTTGTGGACGCAGCGACGGCTGGGCGCGCACGCAAGGCTGCCGAGAAGGCCGACTACCCTACCCTGAAGCGTACGGCCGCTGCTACCCTCGAGAAACTCAAAAAAGCTCAGTTGGCGAAGCGTAGAGAGGCTCGAGTCCGCAAATCGGCGGAGCAGGCCGCAGAAGAGGAGCGACAACTGTTGGCGCGAGAGCGAGTCCTGCGCGCCGATCTGAAGAAGGAGCTTGGCGAGGAGCAGCGTCGTAGAATCGAGACAGAGCAACGGGCGCAAGCAGCGATCGCACGCGAGCAGGCCTCGGAGCATCAGAGGCAGCAGCAGAGGGCTGCTGATGGAGAGGCGGTGGCGATCGTCCTGACCCAGCTGGGAAACTTGCGGTTGGAGAACAAAATGCTTCAAGATCAACAGCGCGAGATGGTTGAGATTTTTTGTCCACAAGCGGCAAGCGTGATGGCGGTGCAGCAACAGCAGCACAACCGGAATCCGCTGCTTTCCGCGAAAGACCAGCTCATCCGCACCCGGATGGAGGTAGAGCAAGCGAGGAGGGAGCTGGAGGCGGCGTCGGCGTGGGGAAAGGTTGCCGAGACGAGAAATGCTAATTTGAATGAAAAGGTTCGTGCGTGCGAGTGTGTGTGTCTTCGCCCTCGTGTGTTTTTGGCTTTGCTGTTCCCTTCTAGTGCGACTTTTTCGTATGCCACCGAGTCCTACAGGTTGATAGAACCAACATAAGCAGGACGATACCAAGAGAGGCAGGCGAAGCTGCATGCAGCTGCTATCATCGACAGACTTGGTGCTGAGAGCGAGAAAATACAGCAGGAGCAGCAGCAGCGCGCATTTTTTTTGTTTTCCCGCTCTCACAACCGCCCTGCTGTTTGCCCGTTGCCCTTTTTCTTTTTTTCGGCAACAGAACGGGCGGGTCCGCCGTCGAAGCGGGCGGGTCCGCCGTCGAACCGGTGGGGTCCGCCATCTATGACCGGTCGGGCTGTGGGGTACTGGCTTTTTGTGTGTGCCAGCAGCCTCAGTGAGCGCAGTGACGGGTGTCCACCTCGCGCATTGCTGCGTGAACGCGCTTGACCATATTTGTCCGGTCTGTTCGTGTGTGTTCGTGTGTCTTTTTATTTTGATTTGAATTCCGACCGTTTTTATTGGTCCAAGAAGGAAGAGCGCAGTCTATTTGCCACGAAAAGTTCACCCGGTTTGGGACACATTTTTGGCCTGAAAATAGGGGTAACCCCAGGGTCTAACTGTCGCAAATTGCACACCGCTGAGCCCATCCCCTTCAAGGCCTCCCCGCGACTGCCGTTCCAGAACACGACCACCCCCGGTGGCGACCGTGCAAGAGTACGACGAGAACCTCCTGTACGAGGCTGATACCCTCGCCAGCTGGACGGACTCCTGCGGGCGCAAAGCATCAGAGGACACTTCGGATGCCAGCGCCTGATGGTGCGCCCTGCAAAGCACCTTCATGAAGGACCCTCTGGGAAACACACCACCTCATCGTGGGCGGGAGCCGGAGGAGCAAGCTGCCTGTGTGGCTGTCTCCGCCGCCGCTCCCGCGGCCGCTGCGAAGCCGTTAAAGGGCTCGCACCGAACATGGGTGATGGCGTACCCATGGAACACGGCCCAACGACGGCGTTTCTACTGTACCACTGCACTTCTAGACACTGAAGCTGCGGGCGGATCCTATATTTCAGTGGCGTCCATCCACGTCGTGGAGGACACGTGGGCGCAGCGCACCTGGCTAGTGATGGTTCATGGTGTGAGGATGCCTTTGGATATTTGCATGTCTAGGATAATGGTAGACTAGGGTTTCTATCAGCCTGGTTGGGATGTTGGCAAGAGAGAAAGAGATGGAGAGAGAGAGACTCTCGTGTGCAATAACACCCTCTGTTGACCATCACCAAGGAGGTGAACCGACCAGCTCCCCGAGGCTTCAGAGGGAAGACACTGACCCTGGTCCCTGCCTAACTTCAGATGTGTCTACAGTTATCAATGACCCAGGCTGACCGACCAGGGTCAATCAGGGTGAAAAACTTTCGTGACAACAGCAGTACAAGCTATTCCTCTGCCCTTCGTGAGGCATCGGCGCGGCCTGCATCGTTGGACAGCGCTGTCTCTTCCGCCGTCGTAGCTGGATTGGAGGGCACGTGGGCCGTCTACGGAACATCATCAATGAGCGCTGGAATGCGTTCCGCCGTGGTTTGCGACAGGGCGACCCTCCCGCGAACGTCGAGCCTGTGTGGGTTACCCTCAAGCCAGGATTGCGGCCGGTCAAAGTTCGACGGCGGACCAACAACCCGATCAAGACCGCGTGGCTGGCGGGGTGCATGGCGTCGCTCGTCGCGCTGGGTTTTGTGTTCCTCAACATGCAGGCCGTGTGGGCCAGCGCCGCGATGGTGACTCCGAAGAAAGGGGGATACCGGCTCGTGAGTGCCTTTCGTGAGGCAAACAAGCAAGTAGACAAGTAGAGAAGATGCCTGGTGTCATGCCGAACCCCGAGGCAAGTATGGCTCAGTTCGGTGCGGCCAAACTCTAGGGACATTGGATCTGTTGCAAGGGTACTGGCAGTGTCCGTTGTCTCCGGAGGCGCCGGAAATCTTCACGGTTGCTAGGCCAGGTGGCCTCTATACGCCCAAGCGGGTGCCGCAAGGTATTTTGAATGCTACGTCGAGTTTCCAGGCCACCTTGTCGCGCATCCTACAGGGGCTGAACTGCTTCGTCTGGGTAGAAGATGTCGTGTATTGAGGCATGGATGAAGACGACTTGCTTGATTGACACCCTTGACCTGATTCTTGAACGCCTGGAGGGGGTTGGCGTCTACGTGCACGTTTTTTTGAGACCAGCATCACATGGTGCGGGAAGGTGTACTCCCAGGGCAAGGTCGAGCATGATCCCGAGCGGCTAAGTGGTGTGGCTACAATGCAGCGTCCTGAGACGGCTGGTGAGCTGATGCACTTCCTGCAGGCAGTCAACTGGCTGCGCACATCTCTACCGCGGATGGCGGAGGTTGTGTGGCCGCTTCGGGTGTTTCTGGAGCAGCACTTGATCGGTGCTAGGCGCCGGACGAAGCGCGTGGCCGAGAATCGCGCGATCGCTGTGAATGCGTGGACGCCCGCGCTGATCACAGCGTGGGATGCTGCGCAAGACCTCGTTGTCCGTGCTGTTGCCTTGTCTCACCCCCGCTCAGGTTGCTCCGTGGTGATGTTCCCCGATGTGTCTGATAGGCATTGGGGGAGTTTTCTCACCCAAGTGCCCCAAGAGCAGATGGACTATACCGTTGCGGTGGAGGATATGGCTCATGAGCCGATGGGAGCTTTGAGCGGCACATTCAAGGGCGCGCAGCAGCAGTGGGCCACGGTAGACAAGAAAGAGTACGCGATTGTGAGTACGTTTGAGCGGTTGTAGTCTTTGCATTGGGATGGCGTGCATATCTTCACCGATCACCGTAAGCCTTCATTTTCGACTCGGAGACTCGCGTGTCCGCATGAAAACAACGGCTCAGCGTCGTGACCATTGGAAAGCGGTCTTAGGCCAAAACGATTAGACCATCCGGCACATTTCGGGCGAGCGTAATTGGTGGGGGGACCGTCTGTCGAGGTGGGTCTCTGTGCCGTCGGTGAGTGGTCGTGCTGCCACAGTTTACGCTCCCAGCGAACCTGATGCCGCCATGCCGTCGAGGCAAGTCGTACTTGATTCACAACAAGCGGCGCGGAGTGCGCTCGGCGCGCTTGCCGGGCCTGCCACGTCGTTTCCGACGGCGGTAGGGACGTCGGCCTTGGATGGTGAGGTTGTTTCGCGTTAACATGAATGGATGTGATGTGCTTTGCATTTCAGATCAAGCGGGTGCTTTGCAGGTGCGACTGATTGTCTGTTCACACATGAAACAAGCTGGGCATCGTGGCGCCGTCGCTACCTTGCAGCGGTTGTCCGAGTACTGTTGCTGGTTCCGGATGGAAGAGCACGTCAACGACTTCGTCAAGCAGTGCCTGCATTGTATCGACTCTAAGGTGGGGGAAGAGGTGCCTCGTCCGCTTGGGGACACCGTCCACGGCACGCGCCGTGGCGAAAATGTTCATTTTGACTACCTCTCCGTGGGAACGAGTGGCCCGCTGGGTAAAGGTGGCCTGGACGACAAGGACGGGTTCAAGTAAATTTTGGTCCATAGACGACACGTCAAACTGGGTTTGGCTAAAGCCCACGGGGGCACCCACCGCCCGTCTCACTGCGCAGCATGTCCTCACGTGGCGCGAGATTTTGAGTGTTTCGGAGGTCTGGGTAAGTGATACCGCTTAAGGTCATGATTCATGAGGAGAGGAGCAATACTCATGACTGGGTTGTCTCTTGCCAGCTGTTCAGTGGGTCTTGAACACCGTCTTTCGCGAACGGTACGGTTCGACGCCGAACGACGTCATGTTTGACTGTAGCGTCGTCTACCGGCGCTGAATGGAACGTGGACGTCGTGGACGAGAGGGCTTTGCGGCAGAAGGTGTGGCATGTCGTTGAGGCCCAGTGTCACGTGCACGAGGAAGTACGAGATATGCTGCAGGCGAGACGGAGTCGGCAGTCTGTTCGTGTTGGGAGCCTGCCGAACTTTGCGGTGGGGGACTACGTGTTGGTGGCGCGCGTTCGCTGGCGTGGGTCGGCGCCGGAGCTCCTCATGACTTGAACGGGGCCGTGGAGAATTATCACTGCCGAGAGACCGCATGTGTACGGAGCCCAAAACACAGTGTCGAGTGAACTTCGAGATGTCCACGTCGCGCGCCTGCTGTTCTACGCCGATGCCACTCTCGAGAATACAGCGGAGTAAGAGGACGTTTATCACCATGCTTCCACGCAGGGGAGTTCGAGATGGCGGAGATCATGCCCACCGCTGCTGCGCGCCCTTGAATGTGCCGCTCAAAGCTCCCATCGGCTCATGAGCCATATCCTCCACCGCAACGGTATAGTCCATCTGCTCTTGGGGCACTTGGGTGAGAAAACTCCCCCAATGCCTATCAGACACATCGGGGAACATCACCACGGAGCAACCTGAGCGGGGGTGAGACAAGGCAACAGCACGGACAACGAGGTCTTGCGCAGCATCCCACGCTGTGATCAGCGCGGGCGTCCACGCATTCACAGCGATCGCGCGATTCTCGGCCACGCGCTTCGTCCGGCGCCTAGCACCGATCAAGTGCTGCTCCAGAAACACCCGAAGCGGCCACACAACCTCCGCCATCCGCGGTAGAGATGTGCGCAGCCAGTTGACTGCCTGCAGGAAGTGCATCAGCTCACCAGCCGTCTCAGGACGCTGCATTGTAGCCACACCGCTTAGCCGCTCGGGATCATGCTCGACCTTGCCCTGGGAGTACACCTTCCCGCACCATGTGATGCTGGTCTCAAAAAAACGTGCACGTAGACGCCAACCCCCTCCAGGCGTTCAAGAATCAGGTCAAGGGTGTCAATCAAGCAAGTCGTCTTCATCCATGCCTCAATACACGACATCTTCTACCCAGACGAAGCAGTTCAGCCCCTGTAGGATGCGCGACAAGGTGGCCTGGAAACTCGACGTAGCATTCAAAATACCTTGCGGCACCCGCTTGGGCGTATAGAGGCCACCTGGCCTAGCAACCGTGAAGATTTCCGGCGCCTCCGGAGACAACGGACACTGCCAGTACCCTTGCAACAGATCCAATGTCCCTAGAGTTTGGCCGCACCGAACTGAGCCATACTTGCCTCGGGGTTCGGCATGACACCAGGCATCTTCTCTACTTGTCTACTTGCTTGTTTGCCTCACGAAAGGCACTCACGAGCCGGTATCCCCCTTTCTTCGGAGTCACCATCGCGGCGCTGGCCCACACGGCCTGCATGTTGAGGAACACAAAACCCAGCGCGACGAGCGACGCCATGCACCCCGCCAGCCACGCGGTCTTGATCGGGTTGTTGGTCCGCCGTCGAACTTTGACCGGCCGCAATCCTGGCTTGAGGGTAACCCACACAGGCTCGACGTTCGCGGGAGGGTCGCCCTGTCGCAAACCACGGCGGAACGCATTCCAGCGCTCATTGATGATGTTCCGTAGACGGCCCACGTGCCCTCCAATCCAGCTACGACGGCGGAAGAGACAGCGCTGTCCAACGATGCAGGCCGCGCCGATGCCTTCTTCCAGGGCATATTTTCATATCGTGGCTTCACGCCATTGAACGCTCGACCGCTGGATCCGGCTCGACTTGCTCCGGGCCTTCGCGCTGCTGCAGGGCATCA